CCAGACGCAGACCCAGACGCAGACCCAGACCCAGACGCAGATCCAGATGCCATGGTTTGGAGTGAGCAGCGGTAATTTTGACAGAGAGTTAAATTATAACACAGAAGAAAAATCGTGCACTAATCGTTTTAGGTCTAATAAGTTTTCAAACAGTCGAAAGAGCCATGAGTATCAATAAGATAAATTACAAGAAAACTAATAAGATCATAAGACATTCAATACGGCAGCAGACTACATCAGCCATTTTATGAATTTGGAGCGAGTACTGGTTGTCTGGTTATCATAAATTGAATTCACCAATTTCGTGATAAGCAGTACTTGCCGGTATCGCAAGCCGTAAACAGCAATAAACCTTTATGTGGTTACTGGTTATGTCATGCCATGATGTAGATAATGTCAATTTATGCGTGTCAGGCTGTAGAACAGACGTTCCTAAACTTGTAATGGTACATCATTTTTGAAACTATTTAAATTTTTGATGGCCTACAATAATATCAACGCCCTTTTTTCTTATTTATATATACGTAAGTAGGCTCATCATGAATTAATTTTCTTTTTTTAACCGTTGACACGGATATTGTTTGTTTCTTGAGTTTCCGCAGAACTGTAAGTCATTGACTTTTTGTTTAACCGTTTGTCCAGTTATTGCACAAAAGCACAAAAAAAAAGAAAGAATTTATTTGTTATTTGAAAAAAAGTAAGATTTTAAAATTAAATTGCGTGCGTTTGTCGTATTTGATTAATCGTGTGTTACTGAAAATAATCAATTGATTTTAACGTTTTGCAGGCACTAATTTGTTTCAAATGAATTGTCATATTTTCAATAACTATTAATCTAATTGCATCGTATTAAAACGGTTGCAGTAAATTTCTAATCGTCACAAACGCAGATAACGATTTATGATAACACAACATTTGAACATTAACGAAAAGTACTCGTAATAGAAACTAGAAACACATTTCTAAATTCTAAAAAATGCATTATTTAAAAATTTAATTCTACCCACTAAAAATATAATCTTGAGCTCAACCCACTACCTTTAAATGTGGTAGTATGACACATATAAGCATACCACGACGTAGAGAACATCTCAACATAATATCTTCTCTACATTATTGAAACATACTCTCAGATCATAATATAATAGTATATGATCTAAGATGTTAAAATGACGACGGTTATAGATAAGCTGTAGTCTGTATTTCGTTCAGACATGTTTTGTCCTTAAAAACATTGTTCCTAATGGATTTTGAAACAATTCATATTCATTGGAATTTAGAACAAATATTATTTGAATACTATGATATTGTAAAAAAATATGGTTTTGTAGTATTTATATAATATTATGACATATCACATATCCATTTGAATCAATATAGATATAGCATTGTTGAAATTTGGAATAAATGTTTTTTGGATATTAACATAATGTATGTGACAGGCATAGTTTGTAATAMAAATTAATTGAAATTTCGAACTARTAAAGTAACGGTTTTGGAACAAAAAAATTGTTTTAACAATATGTTCCAATAAATAATATTTCCCACTTTGTTCTTATTTTTCAAGTGTTTGCTTGGGGCAGCAGGGTGTGCACTTATTGTACCTGCTAAGTTCGATTAAATTTGTTAAGGTTGTAATTAATATCATTATAATAATATTATAATTATCTAACTTTTAATATATTTTATTGAACAAGGCTGTAGCCCGTAATAGGAATATATTTTTGGGAGAAGTTTAACATAATACATACATAAGGGGTTTTAATGTTTTTAAGCATTATTTGTGTGATAAATGCATACAATTTTAAAATAATTTTTTTGTAGTACCTATACAGTCTAAACCGGGGCTCCAGATATACCAATTCTTGTCAAATTTTACAAACCATCTCAAAAATCAAACCACCAACCTAAATTATCCTACTTCGGACCCACTTCAGTTTTACTGTAAATCAATATTCAAGCCTCGAGCAAGTTCACATAAATTGACCTAAATTCCGAAAAATCTTATCCGACAACACTCGTTAAAAAACCACATTAAAAACCAAATAATATGTCGATATAGCAATCAATATTCTTACCGACATTTTTTTTGCTAAAAATTATCACCTTCACCTACTTAAAATATGAAAAGGTTCAATTAGGTACATGACTACTGAAATATGTCAACACATTACTGAAAAACATGGTACCCTTAAAAAATAGCAGCACTCCCGCTATCCAGACAATCTGCATACTTATAACTGTCTTTAAAACACTCATCAGTTCGTGTATAGACGTCTTACCGTCCACACGTATATTGTCAAGCGTTCCGTCTTTATCAGCTTCCGATAGCGTGTGTAGTTGTTGTGACCAGATTCGTGGCATACCTGTACCTTCGGTAATGTATTATTACTTCATAATTACCTTCAACCGTTACTTATCAACATCATTATGAGTCTTCCTAATCACCCACCGATT